TCCCGAAATTTGTATCATTAAAGAGTGCCAATAGAAAATCCATAAAAATTAATTGAATCCTTCAAAAAAGAATCAATGTTTATTTATAGGATTCAAGTCACCCTATATCCAGTGATTGTATCGCAATCTCTACGTTACCTTAGAATATATTACCGTTGCAAGTGTAAGGTGATTTGTCTTCCGTGGGAAATGACAGTTTAGATAATTAATTTCTATTGAGCAACGACACATTCCGGAATGTTTCTTATAACTTTCTAGAAAATCTACGCAACACCCACGGCCAACCGTTCGAGAGAGACGAAGAAAATCGAATATTAGTAGACTGATTTCCCTACGTCGAAACAATCCCGAACCTAACTCGTTATTTAGATACGTTGTAGCGATCGGTTAATTATAACGTGGTCACACGAAACGGAAACCGCGTTTAAATCCAAATTATGAGGAGCGTTTTTGTACGTAAATTGAAGAGAACTGGTTTTCGAAATGTGTCATGGAAATTAGCAATTCCATTTCGTTTGTAAGTGTTTCGCTAATGGGAGTAATTACAAAGAAATAGCAATAACGATAACAATTATTCTCTTATGTCTACTCTCTTGAACATTTTTTTGGTTTCTTTTTTTTTGTAACATTCTAGCTTGATTATAAATTCTTTACTAGTAAATTATATTTAGAATAAAACGTCGATTATTCGAATACGAAAGATTTAAACTATATACATATCTAACAATATTTACAATTTGGAACACGTATCTCTTCTATGCCTCATTTCAACAATTCGTTGGACAATGAATTTAATATACACTTACATACAGATTTCATTTATTATAATTTATGATATTAAAAGGAAAAAAGTTTACGCAGTAATTAAAGAATAAATATTATTGAACGTTTAAAAAATAGTGAAAGTACCTCGAATTTAGTCAAGGAAAAAGATCTACAATTTACGATATTAAAAATTATTAAGATCTTAAGAGAACTTATTAAAGAAATTTTCGTCGCTTGTAAAGTAAAGTAAAAATAATAATAATGATACTGTTAATAAAATAATAATGATAATAATACTATATTTCTTCCTCTTCAATTATTATATACTAGATTAACTTAAAAAGTCAAAATATTCAATTAAAAAAAAAAGAGTCTAATATAAAATTTGCTCCAGTGATCCAGTGATACAATCGAAATAAAAAAAATGATTCCACAGCATTTCCACAAACTTATTATTAAAGTAAATTGTAAAACTCAAACGGAATGAAATTTACTATATTTAAAAAAAATAAAAACTGCGTCGTATCATAAAAATAACGTATGATTAAAGCTTACAAAAAAAGAAAACCGAGATGTAACTGAGGCCTTCCTTACATACATACATATACATATCTACTGACAATGAGTTATTTCTGATTATATCTTGCAGAAGACTATGCCTTGACTAATCACAGTCAGAAGAAATATTCAAGATAATAAAATGTAACGAACATGACCCTGAATAAATATCCCTAACCACAAATGGCCTTAACTTACGAAACCAATCAGGGCATATAAAGGCAGTAGCTGGATATAGTAATCAAATAAACAACGTGAAGTACAGTCCAATATTGTATATTTTCTATTTTGAGAAACATTTCGTGCATCAATTTTTCAAAAATACAGCATTTCACGTAGGATTCTAAAATTTTTATAATTTAATCAAAAAATATCGATAAATATATTGAATCTATGAATCTTTTTATGTTTAATATTAAAATTATTATTTTTATTATTACTCTCCGTTAAATAAATTCTTCATTTCAATTTTTCATTTAATATTTGCAACATTTTCGCAAGAAAGAAAATACAGTAGCAAAATATTTCCGATTTCGAATAGATTATTTTAAATAGATTATTTCCAATTTCAAATAAAACTAAAAGTAAATGATGAAATTTTCAACTTTTGAAAACTGTGGAAAAAGTTATACATTAATAGTAAGATTTATGTACCTACAGTTACAAATATTAAAATATACTTTTTATAAAATCTTGAAGATAAATTTATATAAAAATATTTTTGGAAAAGAAATTTGTTTGTATCATAGATGTTTGTACAATTTATTACTACAGCTGATTGTATGTCTAATATGTAATGAAATTAGGCCGAACAAATCAGAAAACGTCGACGCAGATTTTCTATGTTAATTTATGGACAAGCTCATCGAATGCAGTGCGCAGTAATTTAACAATAATCGCATTGTAAAACTATTCATGCATTCCTGTGCGTGCGTACACACGTGCAATGTTCACGAGAGCAGAATGCCAAAAGCACAGACACTGTGCGTCAATGAAGGAAATCTCCCTTATTGTACGTAAAATATGGAGAATGATGACCATAGGGAAACAGGATTTGCAAATCGAGTCAGTGTTAATAACCTTACATATTTGCACTTGCGGAATTTGTCAATCTAATCTTATGACCTGTACTATCTCAGAAAAAAAATTTTTTTGACAACACTACTGATAAATGATTCAATGTCAATTTCTTTTGGTAGTACTACTTTTGGTAGTAGCATTATAAGAAAGATACAACAGACATGAGAAGAAAAAGAGTAATAATTATTAACATTTATTAAAGGAAACAAATATTTAGAAAGATATATAATATTAACTATATTTTTACTTATATTACTTATGAAATATTTCAAAAGATATTTCTATCGATACTGCAATCAATCATTACATAATCAATGATCATTTTTAAAAGAATGAAAAAGTCTTACTAGTCTCTAATGAATAAATAACTCTAATATAATAACTGGCATATAACTAAAGAAATAATTAAATTATAGTATAATGAACAATTCTTGATCAAAGAATCAGCAAGTAAGAACTGAGACATTTATATACACAGTACAAGTGAACAAGCCGAGAAAGTCAAGAGTGTGGATTCCATGTTCGAAGAAGGATATCTCGGGTCAGTTAGCCTACTTACGAAAAGTTGAAATTCGTTCCGTCGTCATCACGACGGGTTGCCCCCTTATTTCGATAATATTGACCAGAGTCCCAAAATCCAAGAAAAGGTATTCTATGCGATTAACGTCCAACTAGCAAGTCACCATTTACCTAAGACTTGCGTATAATTGTGAATGACTACTAGACATCAACGACAACGCACGTACCGAACTCGCGTCTTCGATTTGCCAGTTATTGAAACAAAATCCGGTCTCCATGTCACTTTCGACCAGAGAAAGTCGTGCAATTCATTTTACTGTTCGTCGAATGATTTATGGAAAAAGATTTCGTTAGAGACCATTTAAAGACATTTGGAACTTGAATTAGAGGTAAAAATTATTCGAACAAGAAATTAACGTTCTTGATATACGAAATTCTTATTATTATTGATATTATTAACTTTAAAAAACATTTTTTATTTGTTTCTTTTGATATGATAATGATTTAATATAATTAATAATTTTTGTTGTTCATGTTACAGCACGAAAGAAAAAATTTAAATTTGACTACTGCGCATGCGTTTTGCGATCGTATGGCGCTCGTATAATCACTATAAAGTTTAAACAACATTGTAAATATAATAATACAATATTTTAATAAAAACAGTAAATTATAATTCGGAATGTGATTTTTTATAATATTCTTAATAAGAATTACTAAGTTTTTTACAATGATATCATTTTATAGTTGCAATATGACCAACGTCAATAGCAGACGGCAGCTAAGTCGTCTGCTAGAAACAGCTGACAGCTTAGCAGAATAAAAACATGATTTCCGAATCTTATTCTCACTATTATGAATGTTTTTTTTTCGACTTTTATGAATTTACGTTTATAACGTGAAGATAAAAACACTCGTATGAAATATCATTGTTTATTTTCCAACACTTAAAATACAAATTTCTTGATGAAGAAACACGCTTTACCGACATTTTATTAGACATTATGTAATAAAATCTACACGAAACTTAATATGATTGCGCATATTTATTGCTGATTATTCATTTTATTACCTTTTCCGTACCTGTACGTAACAATTAACATCTCGAACCAGAAAACCCTATGTATAAGACCGCGAAAACATTTTCACGGTTGAAACGAAAGGTAGGTTATGTTATTAACCTGACCGAATTTCTTGTGATATCTGACTGAAAGTACACGAAATAATAGGCATGTTCGCTCATATTAGAAAATACTAACATTGTATAACCAAAATGATGATAATTGCATCGTAACTATGTTGATTATAGATATCTTTAGTGCCAAAAAGTAAATTTAACGTACCTGACATTGTTGAATCAAAGTATTGGTCGGATGTTCGATTCTAGGTCGTGACTTGACACATGTCGTCGAAACTTTCCTTCGTAATTGGGCGAGATGTTTGAACTGGCACAATTTCTCTGCACGAGCACAGAGCCTACTCGACCCTACACACGCCATAGCAAAAACTGTAGTGAACCAAGTCACACGACTTGTGAAGACTTTCGAGTATCAACTAGCCCCACCGACACTTCAAAATCACTTCCCCACCCACTTTTCCCTTTCCCGTCCCCACTTATAGGTACACCTGCTATACTCGGCATTAGTCAAGACAGCACTAAAAAATTATAAGTAATTTTAATCATCGAGTATTCCCCAACAGAATATCAATGGACTTTTAAAACAATATCATATTCAAAGTCTATTAGCGACCTCTAACTGATGTTTCCATTATTTACTTGTCAAATTACTATAAAAGATATCAATTATCTCATAATTACATTCTTGTATTATTTTTAGTATACACTTTCGTATAATTTAAAACAGCTTTCATGAATCGAAATATTTTCTGTAATAATTCATCCTACTTTTCATACTAGAAAATTTACAAGAATTTTGTTCTCTTGTGACATATTAAATTAATTTGTAAAACTGTTAAATTTGTAATTTAAGCAAAAAGAATTATGTGTAAAAATCAAATAAATTCCGTGACTTTCTATCTTTTAAGAATTAATCTTAACACCACATTCTGCTTTCGATCTGTGTTTACTTTTATAATCAATGGTATACTTTAAACATGGCGTACAATATTTTCAATAGGTTTTATCAAGCATTTAAAACATTTAATCAAGTAATCGACACTATATTGGGACGCAGTTTTCCACCAGGTAATAAGAATATTTCTATAGTATACCTTGCGTTTGATCATCTAGATAAGTCAGAAATGACTTATTTTTTTATTGCTTCTAACCTCTTCAAAATATTATTATCAATAAATTATTAATAAATGTAATAAGTTATTTATCATTATTAATATACAATTTAGGTCATTTATACGCCATCGAATGCAATACTATAAATCAAGTGCAGCCTGTTCAATTTCCTGGACAATCTATAAAGGATATCCTAAATGAAACAATTTTATGGGCCGTACCTAAAAAACGACGATCTTTAGAAAAGCGTCTTAATAGAAGATATGGTGTTCCTGAATATCATTGGAAACCTCATGTACCAAAAACAAATATCTTAATGTGTAGGAAATGTGGTCATGATTATGAAGCTGGTACACTTTGTGGTAAGATATATAATTTACGTACAAAAAATTATGATTTATTAAACAATTATCACATATATCACTTTCTTCAATTTTAACAGGGTATTGTTACGAAATAGTAAAAAAAGAAACAAAAGAAATGCAAATAGCTATACAAAAATCATTGGGATTACAGCCTGTTGAACAAGATGTTATAGTGTTGTATGAAGGAGAAAAAGAAAAGCTAGAAAATGACGACTTTTGGAAGGTATTTACACGCATATTGTATAATACATAAGATATTTCATCTGATTTTTATATATAATTTACATTTTACATTTAAATTATATCTTTGTATAGAAACAAAGAATCATAGAATTACCTAAAAAGAGACCCGATTGGTTTCATGCAAATTTACTTCAACCAACAGCAAAAGAGTTACCTGATTCTGAACAAAACTTAGAACCTGAATCTTCAAAAGATGATAAGAATAAGTAAATAATTATTTTATATTGATATGCAATTCTTGTTTATATTAAATAAATTAAACGGAATAAACTATGGACAATTCTTGTTTTATTTTTAAATGTGACATTTTTACAATTATAAATGTCCTTATAATATTCTATATCTCTTCTTGATCTCTATAATTAATGAAATAGGTATAATATAGATAACAATCACATTCTTTGCTATTTATGTATTAAATTATTATTTTTATGTATGATAGTTTTCATTAAATCTTCTCTGAGTCAACACTTTATAAAATTCAATAATGAAAACATGTCTAGTTTTGTTAACTGTAATTAATACAGTTTTCACAAAATTATATCATATTTACAAATACCTTGCGTTTGTCTTAAAAAAAGAAAAATATAATGATGTATAAAACTCTATAAAATTAAAGATACTACTCATATTATAAACCCCATCTTACACAATCATTAGTGAAGAATTTCAAAACCATCTACAGTTACTTCTTTATTAAAATGACTCAGAACATGTTCGTGAAATTCTGCAAATGTGACAGTTTTTCCATAAAACGATCCACATAACGGACAAATTTTATTGTCTTGGTCTATATTATCTGTTGAATTGGAATACTTTTCTAAAGATAGGCTCGGAGTTTGAAGACTGGTTTGAGTTGCACCATGCTCTTTAATACTTTCATTAAAATTACATTGTGTGCTTGCTTGACACATCTTTTTATTCGCATTTGTACGGCAGTTATTACATATTAATCCTAAAAAAATTATATTTGGGATTAATTTCTATCAAAATAAATTGACATATTTTCAATCCTCTTAATAGACACAGGGATATTCTAACCAATAACTAATGTTTTTATGAAATAAATGTCGTATTATTTCTAACCCGTGACTGATGATATCTCAATTATCAATAAATCATCAACATATGGAAAATAAAATTTTTATATTTCTAAATTTGTAATTATGGGATTATTTAAACAAAATAACTAAAATTATTCTAGTCAAAATCACATTAAAGATTACCATATTAGAATAAATTTGAATTATATGAATAATATATGATGTATTTAAGAATAAGCATAAAATAAACATAAAATAATAACTAGAACAAACATCTACTAAACAAAGATACCAATAATTTTTTATTTATACCTTCTTTTTTCTTTTTGAAATTTTGGAGTGCTCTTTTTAGTTTCGTTTGTTGCACTAATAAGGTGCTTTTCATTTGTGACAATCTAATATCATGTTGTTTCAATAATTCTAAATCTGTATCTGAATCCTCAGGATAAGTAAAACCAATATTCCTTAAATCTGGTTCTGTACTATTTTGTAATTCAACCATCTAGATCAATATTAAATAAAAACAATGATAATTCTTAAAACTGGATTATTACTTACTCCTCACTTACCTCTGCATATTGCTGTTCTAAATCTGACTTTTCCAACATAATGCTATTTATAAGTCTAAGTGATATTTCTTCTAAACTTTGTTCTTTCTCACCTAGATCAAAATGCATGTAATAATTATATAATTTTTCTTCAACATGTAAAAAGTAAATTGTATTCAATATATACCATTGTTTGTCGCTAACATACATTGATTATTATCCTCTTTACTAGAAATATCACGGAAACTATAAGACACAATGTCTGAAGGTTGTGCTGGAGAATGTTGCTTAAGCGTATCAGAAATTTTTGTCAATTGACTTCCTAAGGATTTATTGGTTCTTGTTAATTTAGATAATCTATTCCATAACTGTCGATTTTCTGCCGCCACCATAAAAACTTGATGAGTGAGCTGAGATTTTTGTTTCTTAAGCTCCTCCACTTTTTCCTGTCAACCAAACTACATTGAAGTATAATAATATATTAAGATGTAATATACATACATTCTAAGCATTAACATATATGTTATACAAACCTTCAAAGTTTGCGCAATAGCTTTTTCATTATCATCAACTTTCATAATAGCTGCAGATTCATTTTTTGTGCATTCAAGTCTCAAGCACATATTTTCTTCTTCAACAGTGGCTAATCTTGTTTCTAATTGTTGACAACGTTCATTCATAGTTTTAAATGCAACTAATAAGGCATAATAATTGCCATGTTTCTCACTATCTGGATTATTAGATTGTTCCATGTCATTCATATTGTAATGATACAATTAACAAAAGTGAAAATACAATTTCAAAATATGATAATCACTAAAAAGTGTAACAGCATTTGCATTAATTTCAACTGTAATTGCACTCATTTTCTAATAAACAATAGAAAACATATGAACAACTAACGTCCTTTCTATTTGCTCGCATTTCAACAAAAAAAAAAAAAAAAAAACATTACATATGAATTTAAAAAAGAATAATAACAGATGATAATTGGATTAATAGAAATCACGATGAAACTGTTAAATTAAGTTGAATTGTTAAGAAATTTTAATACTTTCAAAACTGTTATCTGACTTGTTATTAATTGCTTTTAGATATTAACACGGAAGAAACCTACAAAACAGACAAATCACTCAACGTAAATTTATGTCACACTTTAGGGTAGCTCCCGTTATCACTTCTAATGTTACCGTCAAACATTGAAATAAAATGGAAAAGATCTACGTGCTGCCAACTGTCGGAAACTACCAAAATGAAAGCATACAAAAACACAACCGAAATATGTAAATAGACCACAAAAACATAGAGGCACAGACGAGGTATATAAATAGACATTGCACACAATCATTGTTGCACCATAGACGAAGTGTACGAAGATTTTCAAATTTCATCATTGTTAAATAAGATAGCTAAGGCCAAAAGTGCTAGCGAATGCTTATGTGAATATTTTCTCTTTCTTTCTGTTTCTTTGTCTCTTTGCCTTACTGAAAGTAAAATCTCTTCTTAGTTAATCTCTAATCTACTATTGTTCTTCTTTAAATGTTTCTAATTACAGGGGCATTTAACCTTAACGTACTTAACCTTAAACCATGGATTTCCTCATTCAGAATGTTTCTTCCAAAGCCTCATACGCTCGAGTTGCTCAGCACTCGCATATATGCAAGCAATCATATTAGATCAATTCAATTTAAGAATACATTGCTGAAATTGGCAAAGTTATCGGCCTGTCGAACATCAGATTTATATCCTGAATTTCTCAAGACCCAGTTTGCTTATATTGTGATAGTAAGCACAAGGCTAACAAGATAATTGACAATCATATGAAAGTAAAGATCAAATCTAACTCCCTGAAAATTCAACCACTCATTTTTAAATCCAATCGATTAACACTATACTATGTACTCTATAATTCTGCACTGAATCATTCTTAAAAAGCTTGCTAGACAAAATATTAGATCTATCTCCCAGATCATCTTCATTAGAGCAAGTTTAAATGATCTAGGATACGCACACATCATGAGCTTTTATTGTTAGATGTATATCGAATCTAAAAACATTCTAAACATAGTTGAATCCATCCAAATAAATTATGATAATACATCTAAATTTATCTATCAGCAAAAAAAGTAGCGTGCTTCTTATGGAAGTAAGAGGGTCACGTGGGTAAATTCTGCAAAAATTTTGATCTCCAACCACCACTTTTGCACAACTCTAGATCATGTCAAGACGAAATAGTTGCTGATCCAATCGTTCAAGCTGAACAGCCAAAATCTTTTCCTGTCTTACCTTCATTTCAGATTTCTGCTACATCATTACTCCAGATATATAAACTACAAGATGAAAACATCACAAACCATCCTTCTGCCAGCCTCAAGATGGCTCAACAGCTTACTAACTTCAAATAATTTGAATGCTGTCAATAATGATAGTAGACGTAAAGCAGTTGTTTCTACCAAAAAAATCAAGAAACGCAAAATAGCTAATAGGGCAAAGACTAGAAGACATTTCTAGAAAAAATCTCCTTGCTGCCTGTTAAGGATTACATCTCAGATATTATTTAAAATCACCCAGTGAATTTTCAAAGTTGTCTATAATTTCTACTAGACACATACTATGATCCCAAAATCCTGAAAGTAGCATTAAACCATGCAAGGGACAACTCTAATAAAGATAGTTTCCTTTTCTTTACAGAATTTAAGATAACAAACTGCATCACAAGAATTATTAAACGTCTCAACAATTCCTATCCACAAGATGCTGTGAGTGAGGATTTCTCTCTTCTAGGAAAAGATTTCAATTAGATTAAAGGTTATTCATAGCTACAACTATTATATTATTATGTAGGTTTTCTTCTGGAACTCAAGAAGTCTTTACTCTAAGTGGAAATTCAGTCCATCTTGTGACATCCTCATTTTATTGAAACAAGGCTCACTCATAAGGACAACTTTAGCTTGTCAAAATTCATAAAAATGGTAAAAATTCATAAAAGGTAGTAGAATTCTAATTTTTCAATTTTCAGGTAAATTACTAATATCAAATCTCCTGACATCTCAGTTGAATTATGCAGTCTTTGTTTAAATAATATGAAGCCAGAACTGGATACATTTGTCTGCTATAGAGCTCCAGGCCTCACTGTCACACACGATCTAATTGTTCAAAATAATGACATTAAATGCAACTGCATTCTAGTGACTTTAACGCTCATCATTTCAGTTGGAATTGCAAATAGCAATGATAGAAGATTTCATAATGCCTTGATAACCGCTGATTTACTACACAATGATAACTTATACATATATTAATGTATATAAAAATTTTACATCCAATATTGATCTCTTATTCTCTACTTTGAATATTTGTAACAAAATTGATACTATTGTGTGTGATGAGACCCGAAGTTCTGATTACTTCCCTGTTTGTTTTAATATTAAAATAGATAAGAACTATTATGAGAAAAAGCCATTCAAGCTTAAATCGAATTATACTGACTGGCCAAAATTTTTCCATACTCTAGAGAATCATTAGATAGATTTCTTCACTAATGATTACAATGCTCTGTAGTAAATACGAATTTTTCATTAATATCATCACCAACGCAATTAAATTCAATTCACTTTCTAAAAAGAAATTTATTAACTTTTTTGGAAAAAAAAAATCTAGTTCCCTGGTAGAACTTTGAATACTCAAAAAACTTTACAGAACCTTCTTCAGGAAATGATAGCATTTGCACAACTTGGAGAATTTGATTAGTTATAAAAAAATTTCGGCTTTTACTACAAAAATTTTAAAAAACAAAAAAAAGGTAGTTTCAGAAAATTCACTGAAAGTATCAATTTTCATTCTGATATAAAGTACATATTGCTTATTTGTAAAATCTTTACAAATAAACAATATAAAGTCTTTAAAAAGTGAGTCAAAGTTACTTTTTCCCCACTTCTCAAAAAATCTGCAATGTAATGATCTGGAATCTGGCTTATATAAAATAAACTCTCCAATTCCAATCAGATCTATCCTATTTCCCTATTTGACTTTCTTGATTCTCGTTTTAGTTTTTCCAAATTCAACATTGTACTTGACTGCAAGAATATCAGTTCCAGATATGGATGGAATTGACTTTGACATCTTAAAATAATTGTCTACAAAATACAAACTCCTCTTACATTTCCAATAATATGTTTAATAACAATAACTATCCTTACAGCTGAATTCTTTTGCCCACTTCATAAAAAAAGTACTTTAATACTGAAATTGGTAACTTACAGACAACCAGTACAGCCTTAGAAAAGGTAAATCATATGGTAACAATTTCGTAAATTTCATTCTTAATCTTCTAAGTACTAACGTCCGATATATCGATACCTATATAATATCTGAGAAAACCGAATGTCCGATATATCGATGGTCTCTCTTCTTGTTGTGAGTAGCTTGAGTCTTTATTTGATTTGATTAACTTTGAAAATATAGGAACTACAATAATTTATATGAAAACATGTAAAATTAAACTTCGCCTGGCAGTTTAAATCCGTCTACTAGCGAAGGGGGATTTAAATACTCCGTCCTTAGAAAGTTAAGCTAGATGAAGCTTTTAGGAACCGTCAAGTCCTGGCTGCATTTCTAGACATCCAGGGTTCGACAATGTAAATATCTCAATCGTGTTGACTAAACTCGCCTCTCTTGGTTGTCCTTCTAGTACCTTAAAATTTGTAGAGTTTCTCACTCAAATAAGACTTATAGTCTCAGACCAAATACTAGATAAATTTAGATATGCTTTCAAATGCTTATTCCGCAAGGCGGAGTTTTAAGTCCCCTTCTATACATTCTTTACACTTCGCAAATCGCTGAAAATCTTCCAACAACAATTTCTGTCTATCAATTCGGAGATAATGTTGCTATTTACATCAAATTCTCATTCTTGAAAAGAGCCAGAAACTCCTTAGAAAAAGCTATCAATTCTATCAGCAAAAATCTTTCCGATATTGGCCTTCAATTTACTATTAGTAAAACTGTTCTTCTTTATTACAACAGTAAAAAAATATTACCAGGCAGGGCTGAAATAAAAGTTAAGAATTCTATTTATTAAATTGAGAATAAATTTTCCAAATTAACGCTTAAAAAAAAAAAGAATAGCCTAGATGTCACGGACGAGTAGACTTAACACGAAATATTTTTTTATTTTTACTTTTTCGTTTCATGGAGTCTTAATTACCCTATTAGCATTTTCGTGCCACATCTTGTCGTATTGATTTACATGAGTTTTGTAAATTTTCACAGCGCTACTAATGAAAATCAAAAAAATATTGCCGTATCTGCTCTGAGAATAATTTATTGGATTAAATATAGTGATACTTCATCAATAAAAGAATATAAATATAATAAGAATATGAAATATAAAATAAGAATATAAAAAAAATATACGATTCAGAATAGATTGATGGAATTGGGACGAAAAATTTATTATATATTTGATCATTTACATCTGTTTAAAAGTATTAGAAAAAAATTGATTGAAATGTATTTTTATTTTATTTTATATTAAAGATTATACGTCTTAAATAAATATTTCTATAAATATTACTTACTTTTTATCCCGAGATGTTACGTCCGAAACACGCGCGTATTGGGGTTAGATTAATTAACGATTACAGCGCCATTATACGGTCAAATACACTTCCTACGATTGGATGTAATCGATATTTCTCATGATCGATTTTTAAGGGGGAAGCATGGCAGAAAGAAGCACACCTCTCTTGTAAAGAAGAAAGTGTTATCCAGAAAAACTATCTAGAAAGAAATATCATCCGGAAGTTCTCAAGTAAAAATTCAAATCAATAGTTGTTAATGTTACGACAAGCTCGACGGTGAACGGTAGTTGCTACCCGCTTCGCTAGTCGCTCTCTCGTCGTGCCTTTTACAGCCTCCGGAGAGATGTTTTAATGAATGAAGACGTTATGTGGAATAAATACTTATATTTCACGAGTAATACAAAGTAGTTATAAACTGTATGTGTGATGTGTCGGGAGAGGGCACGCTAGCTCTCCTTGTGATTGACGCAGACAAGACGATATTTGGACTGATTTGGTGAAAATGAAAATGAAAGCATGAACAGTGTGATTGCTGAATACTTATATAGGCCGCCAACCTCCCCCCATACCTCTGACCAGGGTGTCTTCTAGGGCCCCTTCCATATCCCAATCTCTCCTTCCATGTAGGAGAGAGTAGTTGGAAGGGATGATAGAGAATTCGGGAAAATTGGCATGGTTATAGTCTTCCAGCCGTCCATACAATCCCTTGCCAGATGTTGGGGTGAGGTATGACGCTTCTGGTCTTGAGTACTGCGTGATCTTTTTAGAATGGAACGCGACTTTCGGGAGCCGGCCGAGACGCCTTGGTTCCTAGGCTGGGCTTTTGTTTATACCCTACCGAGCCTTCCCATGCCCTGTCTTTTCCTAGAAGGCAAGAGAAAGTCCTTAGAGGAGAAGGTGACAGGGCATCTGGCAATTCTCGATAGGATCTAGGTTTTCCCGGCGCCAGCCTGGACTAACCGTCTCGGGGTATTCTGTTCTGCTCCAGAACATGCCGCCCCCCATTGACCGGTTACGGTCAATCATGCTTGTTGTAGCGGTGTGCCTGTGTAGATGATTAAGTGATGTATTGAGTACTAGTTACATATATGGATAGTATAAATAATTGTTCGATGATCGTTCTGATAGCTGAGTTATGATTGATCGGACTCGACTGGTAGTGGTGCTAGGTGTCGTACGCAACGTTTATATTCGCTGCTAGAAGTCTTCACGGTCGCCACTCTTACAACTTGGTCGTCGCCAGGATGTAGTGTCGTGATCCGTCCTAGAGGCCAACAGAAGACTGGTAGATTGTCCTCCTTGACGATAACGAAGGCTCCTATCCGAAGTTCTGTTGGTTTCTTCTTATGTCATTTGCTCCGGACCAGTTGATTAAGGTAGTCCTTGTGCCATCGAGTCCAGAAATGTTGTCGCAACCGTCTTATGTGTTGCCACATACTTAAGCTGTTTGTCGGTACATCGGTAACGTCTTTCTCAGCTGTGCTGGTCAGTACGTCCCCGATTAGGAAATGGCTGGGAGTCAATGCAGTGAGGTCGTTTGGATCCGAGGATATAGGAGTGATGGGCCGGAAATTCAAGATGGCCTCAATCTCGATGAGATATGTATTCATTGTTTCGAATGTAAGTAATTGATTTCCTATAATTTTGATAAGGTGGCTTTTCATATATTTTACCGCGGCTTCCCAAATCCCACCGAAATTTGGTGCGCGTGGTGGAATGAAATGCCACGTTACCTGCTCTCGGGTTAAGTAGTCGTGAATGACTGGACTTGTGTTACTTGCCAATTGTGAGCGTACCTCTCGTAGTTCACGGTTCGCGCCTACAAAGGTTTTCGCATTATCCGAGAAGAGATATCTCGCCTTACCGCGTCGCGTGAAAAATCGTTTCAATGCTGCTAGGAAGGCCTCGGTAGTTAGGTCGCTTACCAGCTCTACCGCCTTTGTGGCAAGGCACACAAAGATAGCTACGTATGCTTTTATTGATTTGATATTGCGCCATTTCTTTTCCTTGATGAGGATCGGACCGCAATAGTCTATTCCCGTGGCTAGGAATGGACGCTCAAACGTTACTCGCTCGGTGGGAAGATTTCCCATTTGATATGCAGGTAGTGTTGGTTTGAGTCTAACGCACGTAGTACAAGTTCTGATATAATTTTTTACCCCTTGAATGCCGTCGAGTGGCCAATAATTCTGTCGAACGGCATTTGAGGTCGCTTGGGCGCCTGCGTGGAATTGATTTATATGCTGCTGTCGAATAATCAGTTTTGTGATGTGATGACCTGCCGGTAGTATAATTGGTTGCCTTGCGTCTGATGTAACGTTCGCTCGCGCGATCCTTCCCCCCACCCGAAGGAGCCCGTTTTCATCTATGAAAGGGTTTAGTGCCCGTAATCTGCCCTTATATTCCGTCTTTGGGTTCGCGATGGTTGTCAGGTCGGTCGCGAACTCATGGGTTTGGACCAATTTCAGGATTCGAATGGTGGCTGTCTGGATTTCATTTATGGTTAAGGGTCTTTGGATTCTAGGATACTTGGTAACGTTATGATAGAATCGACAGCAATAGGCGAGCGTGCGTGTTAGTCTTTGTATGGACGAGAATCTTTGGTCTAGGTCCAGGTATGAGTCTAATGTTGTGTTTAGGACGGTCATTGTACGTTGCTCGGGTATCTCCATGGGACTCAGCGTTTGTCTCATCGGTTACCCACTGCGGTCCGTTGTACCAAAGGCGGTTGTCAACTAACTCGGTGGGATCCGTGCCTCTAGAGAGGATGTCAGCGGGATTGTGCTGTGACGGTACGTGTCGCCATTGTGAAAATTGGGTCCTCTGTTGGATTTGAGCCACCCAATTCGATACAAAGGTTTTAAGTAGGTGTAGTGGCGTTTTTATCCAGTGTAAAACGATCATGGAATCGGTCCATAATATTGCTGGTTCTAATGGCATTTTTAGAGCCTTGACGGTGTCAGTTACTACTTTAGTCAATAGGACGGCCGCGCAGAGCTCGAGTCGCAGCAGGGTCTGCGACTTGAGGGGGGCTACCCGGGATTTCGAGCAAATAAGATGTACTGAAGTGCGGCCGACCTGATCAGTTGATTTCAGGTATACGCAGGCACCGTAAGCCTTCTCACTGGCGTCGCAGAAGCCGTGCACCTGTATCGCGTGATCTCGGACTATTCGCCGAGGGATAGTTATTTATTGTAATTGCGCTACTTGAGATTCAAACTGAATCCACACTTGGTGTAATTGCAAAGGGATTGCCTCGTCCCAACCGATTTCCAATTTCCACTAGGCTTGCAAAAAAAGCTTGGCTTTAACTATTACCGGCCCGAGTAGTCCTAATGGGTTAAATAATTGCGCGATGCTCGACAACATGATGCGTTTGCTCACTCTTTGCCGATTTGGGAATTTCCTAATGTCGTAGCGCAGACTGTCGCACGATAGGCCGAGTGTCTTTTTTGTTTGGTCAGTCGCGATAGTCATTGCTGGAGTGTTGTCGTTCGATAGCGACGCAGGTACTAACCCCGGGTGATTTGATGCCCATTGGCGTAGCTCGAAACCTCCCTTGTTCGCGAGTTGCGTAAGCTCGTGTCTGAGTGTTAGTGCGTCTTCGTACGTATCCGCGCCCGTAATTAAATCATCCATGTAAAAGTCTGATTTGAACGTAGCTGCGGCTCTACTGTACGCTTCCTGCTCATCTGATGCGAGTTGGTGTAATGTCCTGGTCGCGAGGTAAGGTGCGGACGCTGTCCCGTACGTCACTGTATTCAATTGGTAAGTCAGTAGAAGTTTAGTCGGTTCATTTCGCCAGAGTATTTTTTGGTAGTGTTTGTCGGCCGGGTCGACTTGTATTTATCGGTACATCTTGGTGATGTCCGCTGTAATTACGAATTTGTGTTTTCGGAATCTCGTAAGTATTGTAAATAGATCGTCTTGTATGGTCGGTCCGGTCATTAAGGTGTCATTGAGGAAAATCCCGGTCGTGGTCCTGGCCGATGCGTCGAAAACTACCCGTAGCTTTGTTGTCAGGCTGTCTTCCTTCCGCACAGCATGGTGCGGCAGGTAGTAGCCCTCGGTTGTTGTGTCCCGATTGATCATGTGCCCAAACGTTTCATCCTTCATGAATGCCCGATACTGATCGCGTTGTATGGGGTCGCGAGCTAACGCCCGTTCTAATGACTTAAACCGTCCTAGCGCCAATGCGTAAGAGTCCCCTAACTGACCGGCTTTAGAAGGATAATCGAACCACGTACCGCCCCCCTTGAGGATCCCGTCGCGTATGTTGCGTATAGTGAGTCTCGCACAGTCTTTCCTCCTCCGAGAGTGAATGGGTCCGTGGACCTTCCTCAACTTCCCAGAATCTGGTCAACTGTTCGTGGACTTCACTCGTCACATAACACCTGATCTCCAGTACCGTAGTGAGCGCGGCTCGTTCTCCGGTCACGACCCATCCCAACAATGTCTTTTGCAATATTAGCGAGGTATGCAGCGGTATCTGACCGATGCACAGTAACCTTCAAAATACCTGTGCTCCCAAGAGACCATCAATACTCGATGGGGAGTGGAAGCCTGGATCCGCTAGCTTTATATGGTTGGGAATATGCAATTTTTCCCTTTGTAATTGCTAGGAAAGGGTGATGTCCGAGATGAAGTCCGCGATTAAGAAGTCTAAGGGTTGGGTAAACCCGGAGGTACGTGATCGCATTTGTGCCGTCGTACGTCGAGTTATATATGAAGTCATTGTTCATGCCAGTGATGGATAGGTGGATGGACTGGATTGATAGCTGTAATCGGTTTGCAAACTTGGTTGTGATAAAGTTTGCTTGGGAGCAGGAATCAAGCAGCACGCATGGGATAGGATGTCCGAATCGGTCCGTAGCAAGCAACACTCGGGGTTCGAACGCTGTTTTCAGGCAGGTCATATGGACCTGCGGAGACCCGTCCCCACTTGTCGTCGTGTCAGGATGCAGCATTGTGTTGTGCCTTTGTTGGCACACTCGGCACGCGCCCGACCTGCACTCGGAGATCGGGTGTCCCTTGCGTAGACAGTTTAGACACCCCTTTTGAGCCTTTACTAATCTAATTCGCTCCGCTACGGTAGCTCTTACGAACCTATCACATGTTTGAATGGGGTGATTCTGGTTGCACAGGTAGCATTGGGTGCTAACCTGAGTCGCGTATACGCGATGATGCCGGGTATCTCTTCGCGGTATAGGGTTTTGCGTCTCGCGGGGTGAACGATTGTTCGGTACGCGAGGGTCTCCCTGCGGATGTAGCTGGCTCTAAATGATGGCAGCGATCGTGGAGAAAATCAAAAAACCCCTGTATCTCCGGAAATTGCGTGTTGCCTAGGTGTTCTTTCCATTTTATATTGATTTCGTTATCCAATCGAGAGAAGCCCAGATGTATAAGTAAAGTGTCGGCGGATGATTGTTCAAGCGGGCGTAACGCGCGGTAATGTGCTTCGAATTGCGTAAAGAAGTTACACAGCTCCCGATGATTCCCTCTAGGTACTGTGGGTAGGTTGAATAACGAACGAATGTGATTCGCGGCAATAGTAACTGGTTTGTTGTATAGTCGATTCAGTAATTCCCACGCCCCACTATAATTTGCCGAGGAGTTCGCGAATGATTCGATACTTCTCGCGGGTTCCCCTTGCAAACATGAGCGCAAATAGGTTAGTTTTGCCCATCGCTCAAACGCGAACTGTCATGGATGGTTGTTCGGAATTGGTCCGCGAATCCTGGCCAATCCTCGTAGCGCCCACTGAATCGAGGTAATTGTATACTAGGTAGTGTAATATTATCCAACCTCAAGGTTTCGGCGTGGACTGTGACGAGAGGTCCGTTCTGGTGGGATTTGAACTCGCGGTTGCCTCGGTGGCAACTGTGATATTCGTTGTTTCCAGTAGCTCATATGCGCGATCGCAGTATGCCATATAACGCGATCTGATTTCCATACGCTCGCGGAAAAACCCCCCGTCCTCGTCCGCGGAATCGAGGTCGACTTGTATTTTTTAGAACGTATTGTACTCGGCCTCCAACGCCGCAAGTCTCCGTTTAAGAGTGACCGCCCGAGGTTCTAATTTTTGCGTTTCTAGCACCTTATCAAAATCTTGTAGCAAGAGTCTAAAGTCTTCGCGTCTCAGTTTTAACGTTTTGATTTTATCCTATAGTGATGGGACCATCTTATGTTGGGATGTGTTGTTAGCGGGTTAGAGACTCGGGCGACGTTAACCAAACAACTGTGATGTACGTTACCGATTGAAGTGACCTCTCGTTGTGGGCGTACGGCACAGGTGTAGTGGCTCCACTGCTCCGTTACGTAACCTTGGAAGTGTACTGCGTTGTTGACGCACGATGCCTATGAACTGTATTCACGACACTGATTTCACTTCACTTCGAATGAGGGGGACACAGGCTGCTGGGTCGTCACTTCGTTGGATGCTGGTGTGGATCAAGTTTATATGCACTTGAATCCGGGTTCGAAGGACCAAAATGTTACGACAAGCTCGACGGTGAACGGTAGTTGCTACCCGCTTCGCTAGTCGCTCTCTCGTCGTGCCTTTTACAGCCTCCGGAGAGATGTTTTAATGAATGAAGACATTATGTGGAATAAATACTTATATTTCACGAGTAATACAAAGTGGTTATAAACTGTATGTGTGATGTGTCGGGAGAGAGCACGCTAGCTCTCCTTGTGATTAACGCGGACAAGGCGATATTTGGACTGATTTGGCGAAAATGAAAATGAAAGCATGAATAGTGTGATTGCTGAATACTTATATAGGCCGCCAACCTCCCCGCATACCTCTGACCAGGGTGTCTTCTAGGGCCCCTTCCATATCTCAATCTCTCCTTCCATGTAGGAGAGAGTACAGTTGGAAGGGATGATAGAGAATTCGGGAAAATTGGCATGGTTATAGTCTTCCAGCCGTCCATACAATCCCTTGCCAGATGTTGGAGTGAGATATGACGCTTCTGGTCTTGAGTACTGCGTGATCTTTTTAGAATGGAACGCGACTTTCGGGAGCTGGCCGAGGCGCCTTGGTTCCTAGTGTAACGATGAGTCACCATGAATCACATATTGACTGTAACAATGACTCATCCACCAACAAAACAACGATAACAATATCCCACCCTTGCCCAAAACTCCGATAAAACAGGTATAAAAGGGTCATCCCCAAACTCCTCAAGTCAGTTCCATTCCGCCAACTAAACGTAAGTGTTTAATTTATTGTATTATTGTATAAATAAAAGTTACGCTGGAATACTACGGTATTCCGGGTCATATAAAAGAAGTGTTCTATTCAAATTCCGCGTAACAATTTGGCGATCCTGCCAGGATCCGCTAGCTACGATTATTCTACGGAAATCAACGGCACGGATCTTTGTGTGAAGAACCGGAGAGCGAAGCACAAACAGGCAGAGGACCATTTGAAACATTGAGTTAGGAACTCTTCGATCAAGGTAATTTTGGATTCGTTTAAAAAATATCGCGAACCACGAAAATCTGTACTATCGTCTACTGAAAGCGAATACGATTCGGAAACCGGATTTTACGACACTCCGAATATGTCTCGTGCTACTTCACCTGGAGGAGCAATCTCGCCCAGTCTAATGGACGAAATGAGAACAATCCGCGAGGCAATCGCGAAATTAGCAATATATACGGAAAAAGAAAATCATAAAAGGCGGAAAGAGATAGACGATCTGGGAAGGAGAACCCTCGGGCTAGTGACAGAAGATGAGAGCCCTGCTGAACGACCACGACCTCCACGCCAACAATCGGAAGATGACGACAATACAACAGACGAGGAACGGCTTGGTAACAAAGTATTTCGACGAAACGTCACGATTGCACAACACTCCACCCGACGAGTCATCCCGTCGTCACGAAGAGTTCATGAGTCCATCTGAATCACTACGGACGATAAGAGAGATAAGAGGAATTAGAGATATAAGAGTCGAGGACTTCATTAGACAAATTAAGAAAGCTTGCACACGAACCACCCGCCCATGTGTTCTCTTAGATTTAATTATAGCAGAGGAAATTAAAGATAATGCATGGAACGCAATTCGTTTCGAAACAATCGAAACATTCGAAGAATTATATAGTGCGTTATGGCGCAATATTACCGGAGCTGCTTCTACGGAAATTTGCAAAACACAAATACGACAGATACACCAAGGAATAACGAAATCGGTAAATTCTTACACCCAACGATACAACGCAAAATGGAACGAACGTTACGCTATGCTATAGAAGCAGAACATAGACTTCCTACGAAACGGAATCTCCTGTTGCAAATAGAAGAGGAATCTGCAATACGAACCTACATTAACGGCCTAAGGGAAGAATACGTGAATCGAGTGGAAGATGCAATGTCTCGAAGTATAGACGAGGCACGAACGAAGACCTTGACCATAGAACTCCGCAACAGAGAGCGACAACATTGCCAACGACGTGACGTCACAACCAAAGCCCCATCTCAAAGGATTCTCCCACTCAACAAAAGTTCAACCCCACCACGTGCACCTACCTATCTACGACCATCCGAATCTGTGCAACGAACATCGACTTTGCAATGCAGGCACTGCAAACGGTACGGACATAGCGAAGCCAACTGCTTCCGTAAGCATCAGAATTTTCGGTCGATACAGGACCAAGGGAGACCCCCACCCGAGCAAACAGAACAGAGATGGAAGACGAAAACCAAGAGTTCACAGATCCGGAGCAACATTGCGAAGTATCTGGTTTAGAATCGATGGGCGAATTCAACGAATGTTAGTCGATACGGGCGCCGACATCAACCTCATGAAGGAAGACACTGCCAAGACTTATCGCCGGTACGCCGAAACAAAAAAATTCAAGGTGGGAAACAACATTTACACCTGTAAAGAAGCGGTGGACTTGGTCATCTTTGGTAAGACTTCCAAGTTTCATATCATCACGAAGGAATGCCCATTGGTAGAAGATGGAATAGTAGGACTACCATTCCTAGATCGGTACAACTGGAGACTAACAAAAGAAAAGCTAAAATTAGATGATAAATCTATGAAATTACATACTGAAAATGCAAAGATTCCAGCACGGCAAAGCGTTAAAATTTGTGTTACGACACCTATAAAAAACGGCACTGTGTTATTGGAAGATTTGGTCACTGGAGACCTCTCGCTTCACGAAGCAAGAAACGGACAAATCTTCACCTACGTTACCAATGAGGGTAACTCCGAAAAAAGGGATCACCGAAGATATGTTTCGAGTTACACAAATCTGCAAGAGAAATCTCAACGAAACAATTCCAATTTAGCAGAACGAATTAAATTCCTACGGGACAACACGCGTCTGGAACACATAGAACCAGATCTGAGAAATGGTATGTGGAAGATACTATCTTCATACTCAGATGTATTCCATCTACCAGGAGAAGAACTCCCACAGACAAGATTAACAGAAGATCGCATAGAGCTGACGAATAATAGTCCGATCAATGTAAAAAGCTACAGGCCGCCAGAAGTCCACAAGCGTGAAATCAAAAAACAAATAAGTGAAATGCTCAATAAAAAGATTATTCAACATTCAGACTCGCCATACAATGCCCCATTATGGGTAGTGCCAAAGAAGATAGATGCCACCGGAAAACAGAAATGGAGAATCGTCATAGACTTTCGACGATTAAACGAGAGAATTATTCAAGATGCCTATC